CCTTGAAACTGGCATAGTCCCTCGCTGAGTGAGGAATTCGTTAGACTCAATTGTGAAACATTCGGTGGCCTCGTGGATTCGAACTCACGCCAGCAAGGAGTAGGCCTTAGTACAGCCAACTGAGCTACGAGGCCCCCGCCAAAAGCCGTGAGGTTAATCACAATTGGGTCGATTTACCCTCCCCCGGATGTATGGGAACGGAATCGGTACCATATTGTGTGCTCTCTCTCTCACTAAATCTTTACGATTTCAGTCAGAAGTAGCTGGACTCGTACACCAGAGAGATTAAATTGGCAGAATTCGATGGTTTTGTTTTGAATTCGACTGCCAAAGTGCGCGTTAAGGCGTTTGTAGTTGAACAGGCTTGCACGGTACCTATCACCGTGTTTAGATAGTAAAACAGGATCAAAGCGACTGGAGATGGGTATGAACGCCGTGACTGACACGGCTAAAAGCCCCGTCTACACGTGCTACACACAACCTATAAGAAACCCCTATCCAACGCGTGCCACATGCGTGCGCGAGAATTGGTGAGGGCTCCCGTGGACTCAACGCATTCCATTTAATAAACGCCATGACCCGGTTTTGATTAAGCATAACAGCTACGCAAATTATTTTAATGTGCTGTTCGATTTAACAGTGATTATGGGAACCCTAGATGTGATGCCGATGACGGTAGCGAACTTGCTGGCGCCAGGAACCCCTTGGGAAGGTAAGTGATAGGACCTTTCTGACCCAGGAGTCGGTCTGCAGGATAATAGAATTTGCGGAACGCTTTTCACTGGCTTCCAAGGCATTCTTGTAGATTTCCATGACGGCTACGCCGACAGTGCTTGTTTTTTCTGGATTCAGTGTCACGGACCTATCTTCACGTTTCAATCGTTCGTACCAGCTACTTTGGGATTTCTGAATATTTGTTGTTTTTGCCGATATTTTGCAGTAAAACGATACGCATTTTGCACCTTATAGCGCGGGGGTCTCCCAACCTTGAGAGGCCGAAAGGCCGACTGACTTACTCCTTCGTAGTATGTTTGACTGAAAAGCACCTTCAGACAATCCGGAAATAGGTGTTAGAACTTTGCACCTCCCCACCTAAAGTGCTGCTATTTCACGGTGCCTGATTTATTTACTTTTAGACGACCTTCCGGTTGCCAAATCTAGACCGCCCGGAGAGTCCACAGAACCCGTGAGTCCTGATCTCGGCGTGCAAGATGCCAGCTTCATCGATCAAACCTATTTTCGTGAGCAACCGCTGGAGGATCGGGCCAGGGAGGCCTCTGATGAGTCCGTTGCCGATTGCATACGCGGTGTTCGCGACCAGTTGTCCATAAATCAGTACACAGGACACAGTGAGTCTTTGGTTTTCACTTGTCCTCTACTTCGTCACCTAATTTAAATGCTCCGCAGTCTACTGAACTGGTGTTCGGATCGTGGATGTGCCAACGCATAGACTTGACTCATTGTGACCGGCAGAATAAAGAAATAATCTATTCTTTACTGTGAAAGTAAGTTGAAAGAATTGCTTGCCACGGTTTGCTGATTGTGGCTGGGGGTTTAGGTCACCGAGTACTGGACCCGGCA